GTGATTATTGCTCTAACACACCTGAGAGATTCGTCAACAGTGCGGTATGCACAGGCGGTGAAAATTGTATTGTATTACATTGGGTTGGTTGCATATTGTTTTGTTTTATGCTGTCAGTTTGTATGTATGTGTGAATGAGGAACCTCACATATTATGACATTGAAAACAGACTAAACTTAACATTATTCCATGGTCAATATCGCAATGTTTGTGAAATGGTAGTATACGGAAGTTTGTTTCACATTTTTGATAATACCTTCTTTTATGCAGATAAATTTATTAAAAATGAATGAATAATGCCATGCTTCTCTCAGAGTAAGGGAAGATAATTTATAGAGTGATTCTCATCAAATTAGATATGTCTTTATCGTCCGAACAAATTCACAAATTACGGATGTTTTGTGTGGGTGTGTGTGCATGCACGCGTGTATAACATCTAACTTGATAGGTATTAATTAAAATCAGGCCGATTGTAACCATAATGACTTTATTGGTTGGAACACTCCAAAAACAAAATAATTTCACTCTTCAAAGGAACTGGAACAGTAACATTTTTCATGTTTTCATATGAGCTTCAAAACATTGAATGAAATAAATGCTGTATGATGAAATGGATCAGAGAACATTAGAATGGCATACATGACGTGTGAATGACACATGTAATGGTCAAAATATATAATCACTATGTTAGTTAACTCATGACCAGACACGTCAAACTGGTACCGATAGATTTATGTCTAATATGTAAAAATGCAGTATTTCTTAGAACCTGAAATAGAAAACACGACTTTGGAATGAGATGTTTTAATCTGAGATGAATCTGTTAGGTAGCAGTTTACTTAAGTAGAACTTAAATCAACTTCAAAGATTGGTCATTCGCAAAGTGAAGCAGTTTCCACTTATACTGCAGTAAACAGTATGGGGATACACAACAGAAACATACCACTTATGTGATAACAACTCCATGTTTATTGCATAGAGCGGCATTCCGATGTACAACGTTCAGGATAGACAAGCTGATTGAATGTTCATTGATTCCATCACTTGGACAAAGGAGTGGATTTAGACTTGTTGATCTTACTCTCCTGTTGGCCCTAACGATGTGCTAGTTGCTGAATTACCTGGTGTTAATTTGCTGCTAGTCACTATGCATATATACTTCTGTTCACCTGGTTGTAGTAACTGTTATCTTGATAACGGCGTGAGAATATACATGGAAACTCCCCTCTATCGACCTTTGGTCCAAACAGATGAGTTAAAGAGAAATGTTGATGTCCCGTCCGTTACCAAATTAACATTGGATTATAGAGACAATGACAGGCCTACGTGTTGATAGAAGAGGATATTCCGGATTATGCGAATGACAGCACACCAAATGAGAAAACAGAGCCAAATATATGTATAAAGATAGTGTTTCATTTCAGTCTCAGCATATAAACATTGAAATATAAAACACATAAAAACATAGAAGGCGTAAGCCACGAGTGGTAACGGGAGACTATATGGACAGATTTTATTTAATCGAAATCAGATGTACACTTTCATGCTTCTTCTCATTACATGTATATATCCCCATGTAATAAGGGGAACTGATCCAGAGCGATTAATGTTTCTCGCCAACAGTCTAATTACCAAACCAAACTGCACGCTTGTCGGTATCTGCTCCCTCAACCATGACGGACACAGGGACTGGGCTTCTGGCCACCTTGACAAAATTTCTTCAACCCAAACAGCGGGACATTAGGAAGGGTGGATGCTCATCAGATGTTGTTACATGTATTTGAGAATACCCCCAGTAGTTCCTGTCTGATTGCAATAAAGTATACAAGCAGTGTATATGCTTTTCGGATTTTTTAATGCATAGATGGCATAGTGACTGATCCAATTTTCCAATTTGATCTTATTTCTGTGTTTTTTTACCTCGATATTTAATCATGCAAGGTAAACATATGATGTCTATTACATATTGTATTAATGACAAATGAAACTGTACTCAGGTATATACAATTTTAACTTCAGTACACATCCAATGCTTATATGTATTTCTTATGCGTTCCGTTAAGTTCCGTTCATATCCTCCAAACAGTGTCGGCCCATAACTTTTTCAGGCAATTAACATTGCATGCAATTCAGCGATTACTACCCTTTTGCTGTAACCAGCTGAGTGTTTGGTGGTATAAACTTACACATGTTATTTGTCATCATTCACTTGATGGTCAGTTAATGAATTTATAACAGGTATGATGGTAATACCAATCAAGTTACCCGCCAAAGGTTCCCATTTCGCATTTCATGTGTCTGGAGTAAATACATCTACTCAGCATTATGAATTAAGGTCTGATGTGACAAATGTATTACATGTTATGCAATATGCTCATGGAACTGCAGCAAGACGAATTATCAGCTGAGATACAAAACAAACATTGATCAAAGGGTTAACCGATAACACGCTGATTGATTAATTACTTTTCTTTCACAGCGGATTTGTCGAAGGTAGTGTTTATGTATGTAGATTTACTAATCTATAGTGATTACTACCTGTCCTGTACCCTGTACCTGTAAAACCTGTAAAACAACATCTTTCCTTCAATGTATTAACCGCCAGTAAGTTGATGGGGGTGTTCCTCTTTACCAGTCAGGCAAGTTGTTTATTTAAGGCGTAAGAGGATCACCAGACCATGTTAATTAGCAAGACAATGGTATGGGGTGGGTGGGGAGGGTGGGGGAGAGATGACCAAGCCAAGAAAAACACAAGTGGATTAAATGCTCATTATTGGCTAATTAAATTCTTTACCTTTACCAATGGATTATACACCAATGTGAAAACTGAATCAATGTATCCCTTTTTTCGGGTATTAGACTGTTAAAAGACACTTGACATGGAACAGGATTCTTTGTCAGCTGCAGATCAATGGCATATTGTTCCTTTATGTGGAGGTAGTGTCCCATTTTGACAGCGTCTTGGTCACTGATTCGCGAAGTTTCGCTCTCAAACATGGGATAACTAAGCTGCACCAATTAAGGGTAGTTATGTTAATGCAATCACCTGAGAGAAGTACAGAACAAGTGTCGCCGGATGTATTTCCCATACATTTGCGTATCTCTTACGTTATTCCTCTCTGCTCATTTACGAGCGCTTCTTATATCACTCTTACTCTGGTTGTAATACCAGTAGTATCTCGTGCATTACCTGTTCCGTGACATCTCGTGCATTACCTGTTCCGTGACGTAGGCATCTTCATATTTGCCACTTCATGTCACGCCACGGCCGAGGGAGGTGAGTTGATACACCCCTCGGCCATACATCTTATCATATTGATGTTCGTGTTGTATTTTACAGGTATGTACCTTTTCTGTCTACTTTCTTTGTCATCCTCTAAACGTATTATCGTAAAGGTGCGCGATATCATAGTATTTATAATATCTATAATATTTCTATAATAAGGCATCGCGTTGCACAGAAATTACTAATTAAACACTGGCACTAGCACGTAGAGTAAGTAAAGTGTGAGTGATGTCTGCTTCCTTTAATTTTGCTCATAATATTCAAAGTGCAATATTTCATAAAATGCTATAAAGACCATTTTATAAATGGTAAAATTCGTGCGATCTTGATATTTGCCACTTCATGTCACGCCACGGCCGAGGTGAGTTGATACACCCCTCGGCCATACATCTTATCATATTGATGTTCATGTGTATTTTACAGAATAAACAGATTTTAATCAACCACGCCTCAGTCCGATTAATCAGCGGCCAGGACCCGCGACACAAGTAAAATCGGAGATTCTACCAGATCACAGTCTCTACCCTGACACATACATACATTGACTTTCGTTATTTTTCAGTCTGACATTTTTTACCACTGGCAGATGATTAAACTTCAAACTGTTTTCATTTGTTATAATCAAAATGATGGAAATATTATCGAGTAAAACAAGATTTTTATTTTTGTTGATCAATCTACACCTATACGATCAATTGCGCATGCGGGTTGCGCAGCAAAGGTCTGAACCAATCGAAAATACTGGGATATCATCCGGGTGTTCAGGGGAGAAAAGCAATAACAAAAGCAACAACCAGTGCGCGGAAATTGCTCTGGATCAGTGCCCTTTTAAATGTGTTTACCATATGATTGTTTTGATCATGTTTTTACACGGTCGGCTTCAGTGTGCGATGTGTTCACTTCCATCAACCACCAGCTTGTAATAACACGTCACATGAGGATTAACCATGTGCTAAAAATAACACCCAAACTTTACAAAGCGTACCCCTTGTCAATGTCTGAGAGCCATATAAGAATCAGAAAGGTCGGCTTCCTGGAGTCGACATCTCAAAATATGGTATGTAAAGTGGTAATAATTCCTGGGCATTAGAGAACAGATTGGTTTTGTTTTGGAATTTAATGCTTTTCATAAACTAGAATCTGATAAACTATTTGTCTCTGGAATCACCTGTGATATGAACTTGTGTAGTGATTTCTCTAGAAATTATTTAACGTTATCTAAAATAGCGACATTTAGTCACCTTTTATTGTATATGACCAAATTAATTAGTTACAGTATGAAGTTTTAGAAGAGATTCATTTTGGGTTCTTTTTGCCCCAGTCCGCCTGTGTGTGGACAATATAACCAATTATCTATTATTAAGTTCATGATATTTCGTGGAATACACCAACTGCATAACTTACTGTCTCTGACCACAAACCCAAACGGGTTGCTCTCTATTCGCCTACAGTCTTAAAACAACATTTCATGGTCTGTTGACTGTTGATTTCGGTAATGATAAACCACCCAAATTGGTCAAATGACTGTTTTGACAGATTGACTGTTTTAACATATATATATTAAGTAATACGCTCACAGTTGCCACTAATTTTTTGCCTGAAGTAAAGAATCTAACCTCTTTGTCAGTGTGAATCTCCACGTACTAGGATCGCGAGGCAGCTGGTACCAAATGGTTTAAATTCTGACTTTCATGATTCAACAGAAAAACACATGTTCATGAGTTAAGCCAATTTTATTGACAGAAAATGTTAACACTATTTGTATACATACAAAATATACATATAGTTCCAACACTTGGTTTGCATGTAAACATATTGGAATGAAAGAGACAAATGTAATAGTAGACAATATTGCTGCATACACCAGAGATAACATCACGAAGACATAACATGGAAAAACTCACGCTTCTGCCCCAAAACTGTGTCTCTGAGATACTCGGAATGCTTTACCGATGGAAGGCACACCTTGGTTGTTAGGGCCAAGCGATTATAACATTGTTGAAAGTCAACAACATTGCATATATGGATAAAACTAAACCTGAATTTCTCAATATTTGACAAAATGTATCATTTCACCTGCCGACATTGCCAGCATACCTATTGAGATGAAAGTGAAAATTTGAGCGAGGGTGTGACTGAGTTAAGCTTTTACCGCTCTTAGCAATATTCGAGCAATATCACAGCGGGCTTCACAAAATACGTTTCACAATTGAACCCATGTGGGGAATCAAACCTTGGTCTTTGGTGTGACGGGCGAACGCTTTAACCACTAGATTACCTCACCGCCTTTGAAAAGATGAGAGATGACTCAAGTACAATGATTAATAATAAGATATGACTGACACTTATCTTACAGTTGCCCAGGATATGCCCGTAACAATGACCTTGGAACATATCAAATCTCCTGATACAAACGTGCATCAAACCTATCCCTCCCTGATGAGTTCCATATGTCTGATCACAGTAGACTTACATAATTTGATGTTCTTCTCAAATGACCTAACAGTCGCATACAGATACGCTGATTGTCCCCATGGTGCCAATGTGCAGTAAAATAATAATTGTGCCTCGACGTTCAAAAGGTACCGCTAATATGTGCATCTGTATAGGCAGGGGAACCTTTGTGGATCCACCTGAATCGGTGTTTCCTTTCCTTGTCCTCATGGAAATGAGATCACGCATCAAGCGGGTACAGTTAATTTTCTGTGAACATGATGTTATTTCGTAACCATCATTTATGCTATATCTCAACTGGTGCCCATTCGTGAGATGGTGTCTTACTATTTCAGAGTAACATCCACTAGACGTATCAGTTTCATGACCCATTTTACCAACACATAACACCAAAATCATTTGGATATTGATTGGATGGAACAAACTACAGAGATAAAAGAATCAAGACACGATCAACTGTAGAATGAACAGAGCGCACCAAGTTAATATTCAAAGCATCGGATCTACCAAGTATGTTCTATATTTTCATTTACTGGATAACCTTCTCTTGCAGGAAATGTCATCAGGAACACAAGGTCGTAATTACATGAACAATAATACTTCTAGTATAATTGTAATACTTCAAGTATAATTGTAATGTTTCTAGTATATTTGTAATGCTTCTAGTATAATTAAATAACTTCATGATACTTGGAGACATCATCATGCATAGGTACTAACTGTTATAAACTAGTCTAGATAATATAAACTTGGTGAAGAAAAAGAGGCTCACACTTAATGTACTGTAGTTTACGGTATTGAAGGTTACTGGATTGCAGGTTACAGTACGACAGGCGCAAACCCAGTCTAAGAGAGCACCTGCTCTATAACATATCCCAGTTCTACAACTGTACCCAGTACCGTGTTAATTTGATTCCTTAAGTTCTATTGAATATTTTCCTGTGATGTCACCGAGTTCCTTTGAATCAAACCCGATACTGAGTGCTCGACAGGGCTGTCCGCGGGGTTGAACCTGAGGGCGGAGACTGAGGGTAGTGTTCCATGACATGCCAGAGCCGATGTTGCTGAAAAGAGGGAGGTTTACATATGATTTGGTTGATTCTACAGTCATTACCTGTATCAGAGTGTAAGTGTGGAAATCACATCGATTGGTATTCAGCCGTTTATATGAAACCTAACGGCCAGTATTTGATTATTATGGAGCGATATATCGGTAGATAAGCATTTGGGAAAAGGGGATACAAGACATAACGGAGAAATACGGGTAAGCTAAATACCTGAGACTAGGGAATATATGTTATTATGGTGACATATACTTTAACTTAAGTTTTTAAGAGATATATATTCGCAAGCTTAGTATTTAATAATGAAGCATGCAACATTAAACATAACAGTCCACCAACATTGCAACTTCGCTGTATGCAATAAATAAGAAGTTGTTATCCATAAAGTTGTATGCATCATTGTTGAATACACCAACTTCTAGAATGCCGATCGAAAAATTAAGCTAAGTATTTGTTATTTTAGAATAGATGGTATTTGTTCCCATATGTGTGAATATACACGTGAGGAAGGTAAGTATATAGGAACTTGCAGAGAACTTAAGGCACCAACATTTAGAGAACAATTCTGTACGTGGGTCCCTTAACAATAATGCATATAATTATACCTTCAGGAAATTAAATCACAATTAAATACTTTGTTTTAAGTGGAGAGATATAAGGATAAGAGAAAAGGAAATAAGGATATTTGGCGAAGAAAATAAATCTCTATTATATGCTTTCACGATATTCATATTAAGTAAAGGCCACAAAGATATTATGAGAAGCGAATGAGTACTTCAAAGTATCTTTGCATTCCATTACTCTAATTAATGCTCGAAGAGAAGCCATTCTATTTAATAACAATTTTGAAGTCAAAATGCAAAAATGTAAAACAGATTAGTGAGTTACCGTTATTACTGTAGATGGGGCATTCGCAGGAATATGAATAACATGGCTCCGACGAAGACAGATCCACAATTTACCAGAGGCTATTGGGTAATATTGAAGATTTCGATAATAGGAAACAAGCTGCTATAGATTCGTTTCGAAATCGTCATTGTACATGATTCAGACTTAGAATTGAAACTCAGGGACTCGAATTTTCCAGAAACATTTTAGAGGGAAACCATTTGGACAATATTGTAAGAAAGAAAAGAAACAACAAATATAAATGTTTTGGAAGCCAAGAAAACTGCAAAACAAAACTAGACAACTACATTGCGAGACGACCTTTTCAAAATAATAGCACTAAATGAAGCATAATACAAAAAATAAGAAGAATTTGAGAAGATAACGGAGGTGCACAATGCACAAATTGAAGATAAAGTAGAATTAGAATCAGGAAAGAGGGAAATCAATACTTTTACCATTTGTAAAGTAGTAAATATAGGTCTAAGTTGATAAATATATTAACTAACACTTAAAATGAAGAAATAACTGAAGGTTGAATTATGATTGTCCAAAAATGTGTTTTATGAGAAATTAGAGGAGGAGGAAGCGGATCATACAAAATTTTGGTGGCATAATGTACTTGAGAGCTCGCTGAATGAATGAAAAATCTAAAACTTGTGACAACATGAAAATTAACACGACCCCAGGAACGGATAGATTTCCAAGAGAATTTGTTACACGTACAGGGACCGTGAACACTTAGCTCCAATAGGGTTGTGTTCAGCGAAGCTTGCCCTCTATAATCACAATCAAGGATGTGGAGGTTACCTATCTAAATCTACTATTGGTCATAATTGTGTGTTGTTTTAATTCGCATTTTTTTCATTTGTTGTCTTTTTTAAAGAAATCTTTTGGAAAGACTTATGCTTTTGGATTTATAGATTTATTAAAGAAATATCTAACATAAACACATTAACAATAGCCATCAATCGTGGTGTTGTCACTTGTCTTCCAAAAGGTTACAAGACAGGTCACAGCTTACAAACCCTGGCCATATGTACTATTAAGTTCGCTGCATAAGTGTATAACCTCTTATACTTCTGCTAACAGACCTAAACTAATACACATTTATCAGACTAGGTTCGTTCGAGACAGATGTAGAACCGATAATCTAATGATATAATTTAAGTAACCAACGAACAACTGTAGTGCACAAGTCATCCCTTGTAGACTTTGAAAATATTTTTGATACAATATCTAAACATATATTCAAAATGTGGACGAAACAAAATGGGTTTGGCCGATACATGACAAAATGGATCGGCATAGAAGAAGTTCGGTACTAAAGAACAATTCCTCTTTGTAATTGAAATGGGCCTCTTCAGCAACACCATCAAGTCTGCAAGCAAGGTGACCTAACGTCATCCGATCTTTCTATCATGGTAGCATAACCTTGGGGGAATTATCATAGAAATAGTTAAAGAAGGCCTCAGGAACTTTACTATTTTAAAATAATATATATATGACCTGAGACTAAGTGAATCTCTGCTCACTAGTCTAAAAGCAAAAGAATTCGTTATGAAAGACTTACCGAATCTTTTTACTAAATAGCAACATGTAACAGTTGACATTTCATGACACGGAATAGTTCTACAGTATAGGAAATGCACTAAAGATACCAAACGTTTGGATATTCAGTATACAGAATATTGTCTATCAAAAAGGAATTATTTGACACGACAGAAGTGAATATTCATTCTGTGAAACATAATAAATCGTAATTACAACATGTATTTTTTGAATATCAACGTGTTGGAGATTTGGACATGAATTAGCACATTTTAAACAGTATCTTTCCGCATAATACCAGTATTCAACTTGATGTTAGTTTCAGTCTGTTCGGCTCTACCCCAATATTTGATAAGGTAATAAGTCATTTTACCACTGTCTCATAATAATGCATTTTTGAGCACGAAAAAACTCTCAGAACAAGTAGAACACTTATTGCTCCAGAACATTATCTTCATCCAGTCTTTCTGCAGAAATGGGAACGTTTTCAAAACGTATTAAAAACATATCGACTGCATATTATTACTTCATGCCACCCATTGTTCTCTACATTTGTATTATATTTGTACTCATGGAGACGAATAAGAACAAATGACAACATATTCAAGAATTTCAATGTTTGGTGTTATGGGGAGCATTGGGAGATATATGGGAAACCTAAGTAGTTGAGAACAGGGGATATTATTTACTGTAAGCGTGGGGTGATATATGGGAAAGCTAAGTAGTTGAGATCGGGATATTATTTACTGTAAGGGTAGGGTGATATATGGGAAATTAAGTAGTTGAGAACAGGGGATATTATTTACTGTAAGCGTAGGGTGATATATGGGAAAGCTAAGTAGTTGAGATCGGGATATTATTTACTGTAAGGGTAGGGTGATATATGGGAAAGTTAAGTAGTTGAAAACAGGGGATATTATTTACTGTAAGCGTAGGGTGATATATGGGAAAGCTAAGTAGTTGAGAACAGGGGATATTATTTACTTTTAGCATAGGAAGATATATGGGAAGACTAAGTAGTTGGGAACAGGGGATATTATTTACTGTAAGCGTAGGGTGATATTGGGAAAGTTAAGTAGTTGAGAACAGGGGATATTATTTACTTTAAGCATAGGAAGATATATGGGAAAGTTAAGTAGTTGAGGACAGGGGATATTATTTACTGTAAGCATTGGAAGATATATGGGAAAGTTAAGTAGTTGAGATCAGGGGATATTATTTACTGTAAGCATAGGGAGATATATGGGAAAGTTAAGTAGTTGAGAACAGGGGATAGTATGTAGAGTAAGCATTGGGGAGAAATATAGTTAGGTTCATTTATTGAAAACGGGGTGTTAGTTCCTAGAATCACAGAGGTGTACAAGGTAAGCATATAGTTGAGATCAGAGGATGTTCAGCATAAACATGATAGGGTAAGCTAAGTATTTGATATTTTAGACGAGGGGATATTTTTACTATTTTCCATTAAGAGCATCCTTTGAGAGGAAAGTAAGAATTTAAGAGAGTCGGATGGTCGATGGATATGGGTCAGCTAAGTATTTGAGAACAGGGTATATTAGGTACATGTGAAGACATAGTGTTTTGTACTCTGTGCACTCACCTAAGTTTCATAATGTCTTTGGTAGTACCAACTCCATCGAAGCCTCCGGCAAAATTGACCACACAGTTGGTCAGCGCCAGTTTCAGGGGATTTGTGAAGGAGACGTCGACTTTGATGGTGTCGAACAAGCCGCATGTCGCCGGGCCCTGCGTAAACAGATAAGTATTGATAGACTGGTGGTACCTAAGACTCGAAACTTATAATTAAGAATAAATGTTCCACGTTATGTACTTTATCAGATTATAAAATCAGCCAAGAGAGAAAACATCAAATTGACCTGTTTGTTTGGTTGTTTTGGTTTATTTGTTGTTTAATAATCGAGTCTGGACCAGACAATCCAGTGAGCAACAGCAAGGGTATCGATCTACGCAATTGGGATACGATGACATGTGTCAACCATGTCAGCAAGCCTGACCACCCGATCCCGCTTGTCGCCCCTTACGACGGCTTGGGTTGCTTAAGATCAATTCTAACCAGGTTGTCATGTGCCCGTGGCATAGATGGATGCTCATGCTGTCGCACTCTGAATTATGCCACGTTAAACAGCAACCAAACGTAAAACTCTACATGTAGTAACCTATGATAACAAGTCACTGAGAAACGTCTTCTTTAATATTAGTACCGAGAGTTCAAGATCGGGTCTCCTCATACGGAAGTCCATCTCCTCTGTAGCGATGTCATCTTCATCTTCTTTGCAAATCGCGACGGCTTTCAGCTCGAAGTTGAAGTCATCTTGCGGCCTCTGGTTTGCTTGATGTTCATCTACTGTTATCGTGAATTCCTGGCCTGGAAAGATAAGCAAATCAATGCGGGTTTTGATTACAATATACCTAATGGATCTCGCCGTCATTTGAACAGAGTTGTTATCAAATACCAGTTGAAAGGATAATGCTATGTTGGTGCAAATATTATAGAAAGGGACGATAGCCCATGAATTAAGAGGCTTAGCCAAGCCCATGAATGTCTATAGTTTCTGATACAACCGCCGCCATATAGCTGGACTATTGCCGAGTGCGGCGTAAAACTAAACTCACTCACTCTGATACAACCTCCAACCTAACACTCTACACACTATACTCACACTCTACACACACAGACGTTTACTCCAGCCAACCATATCATGGGACCAACACCTTCACACAACACACAGAGGAAATATTGTCACTATCCCTATAGCAGATCATACACGACAACCTACACAAACAGAAAACAGCATAACTGTTATGTCCTTTATAAATATAGGAAACAAAGAACTAAGGTTCCCGAATAGTAAGCTCAAGGCCACAGACTTCAAGCTGAAAAGTGTGTAAAAATATTTTCCGAAACGCAGTAAGCTCAAGGCCACAGACTCTTCAAGCTGATTAAAGTCAATTACACCTAGACATGAAATGTAAATAATAGCAAGGACTATATATTTTTCCTTCTACAACGCATAATTCCAAATGGAATTTGTCTCAATGAAACAAAATATTTACAATACATTAGTCTTCAGATACCTTCCAACAAGATATCAATTAAATTCAATTACAGTTACTATGAAATGTCAAAAGACGAAAACTAGATCAAAGGCGATATATTTAGACTTTTAGCTCAATAGGACTTATACTTTCACAATATAATATTATTTTTGCAGGTGATTAGAAGCAATAAACATGCAGTAGACGTCTTCATACACTGTACTATGTATACTTAGGTACATGCAAACATCTGTTGAGAAATAACGGGTAATGTTAAATGACTTGTACCTTGCCTGAGCAATGCCTGTTACCAGATGTAGTCAAACATACACTAGTTGTAATTCATATACAATAAGAAACAACCTTATGTACCGTTGCATACCTATGTATTATGTAATTATGCCTACTTATTTATATGTAATATCTGCAAAGAAAGAATGGTCAATGTAACATCGACTAAGGCCCTATGCCAAACCTGTAAATACTATCTATTTATGTATGCCTTGTATATGTGAACATCTATCTATTCATAATTATAATGTCATGTAAACATTTACTGGGAAATAAAACGTTAAAATAAAAATAATAAAAAAAATATTCACAATTACATAATTATACAAATATAAACATACACATATATATTGCATGATACTCCGCATGTACCATGAATGTATATTATATTTTGGGATGTCATATTAAGTAAAACCCAAGGAATGGCACTCTTTCTCTAGCTGTCTGCAATCATCTCCGTGGTGGTTGCCAAAAGGGCCTTTACTGTCAATGCGCAATGAGTATACAAGATAAGTGCAATACATACTGGCACCAGGCTTAAGTTTGGTCTCGTCAAACTTCTTGAGAGCCGCGATCCCTGTGACAGAGTCGAAGTACGTTTTGTACAACACCTTCAGTCTGACAAGGGCGGTACGTTCTTTCTTGCAAGTGTTCTTGACCTTCAGCTTAAAGGTGAAAGCGGAGCCCACTAGGATGTCCTCCATTTCGTCTATTTCAATGGCCAGGCTGCTGCACTAAAACGAAAGAACATCGCCGTTATCGTGTCATTACTGACGACCGACTCACAATATGACTCACAAGACTTATGCATGATAGTTCTCGTGCAAACAGGTTGCTATTTTCTTTCACTGACACAAGTAGGAAAAATAATTTGCTGGAGCGGGTGGGAGCAGGATGTAGGTGGGCATGGTACCAGTTAAATGGTCAAATATTCTGTGAGCTGAGGTATAGTTTTCTTTGTTTCAGCAGACAGAAATACATGTACCGATATGTCGTCCCTTATATAATGCTTACGGTCTGTATCACACCACAATCTATTGTCCTCTATGACACGTGGATGAATATACAGTTCGATGACGTTGGGATAGGTGGAGAAAAGAAACCATGCCAAGACGCAATGACACATGTGAAAGGTTAAGCATGTCAAGGAGTAATGACACACGGATAGTGTACAACATGTCTAGGCGTAATGCCACACGGACAGTGTACAGCATGTCTAGGCGTAATGCCACACGGACAGTGTACAACATGTCAAGGAGTAATGACACACGGACAGTGTACAACATGTCTAGGCGTAATGCCACACGGACAGTGTACAACATGTCTAGGCGTAATGACTGACTGACTGAGTATGGTTTTACGCCGCTTTTAGCAATATTCCAGCAATATCACGGCGGGGGACACCAGAGATGGGCTTAACACATTGTGCCCATGTGGGGAATCGAACCCGGGTCTTCGGCGTGACGAGCCAACGCGTTAACCACTAGGCTACCCCACCGCCCCCTAGGCGTAATGCCACACGGACAGTGTACAACATGTCTAGGCGTAATGACACACGGATAGTGTACAACATGTCAAGGGTAATGCCACACGGACAGTGTACAACATGTCAAGGAGTAAGGACATATGGATAGTGTACAGCATGTCTAGGGGTAAGGACACACGGATAGTGTACAGCATGTTTAGGGTTAATGACACACGGACAGTGTACAGCATGTCTAGGGGTAAGGACAAACGGGTATATAGCATGTCAGGCGTAAACGGATAGTATAGTGTAGCATGTCTAAGGGACACACGGCGTAATGCATGTCTAGACACAGACAGTGTACAACATGTCTAGGGTAAGGACACACGGACAGTGTACAGCATGTCTAGAGGTAAGGACACACGGACAGTGTACAGCATGTCTAGGGGTAAGGACACACGGACAGTGTACATCATGTCTAGGGGTAATGACAAACGGGACAGTGTGCAGCATGTCTATGAGAAATTTCACACGGATAGTGTAAAGCATGTCTAAGGGTAATGACAAACGGATAGTGTACAACATGTCTAGGGGTAATGACACATGGATGGTGTAAAGCATATTACCTCTTCTTCTTCATGCTCGTCATCGCTCTCTTCCTCGAGGCCGTTCATCAGTCGGAATAGCTTTTCTGCAGCACGATGAATCGCCTTCTCCTTGTCAGAGCCTGAAATATACGTCATTCTCAAATCTCGTGGGATATACATAATCACAAAGCTCTTATTCAATCATTGTACTAGCTTGCATTAACCATGTCATCCGTTTAGACCAGACATGATTGTAGGAACTGTCTCCCACTGTAGTTTGAAATGGCGACATCGGGTTAATGAATCAACCAGGTGGATTAAGGCCCACAGCTTTGATCACGTAATGTGTATTGACCCACGATGGTGGCACACATGGTGCATTGGGCACGCAAGAACCCTGCGATCGTGTGTTCGGATCCGCGGTTTGCCCGGATCGTTAGCACCACACCAGTGCTCATGGATTTCACCTGTAAATCCAACACCTCCATCCCTTCCCAGGGAGTGGGGAAGGGGGTTAGCCTAGTGGTTAAAGTGGTCGCTCGTCAAGCTGAAAATGTCCGCTCGATTTCCCACATGGGTACAATGTGAGAAGTCCATTTCTGGTGTCCCCCGCCGTGATATTGGTGGAATACTTATAAAAGTGGCGCAAAACCCAACTCACTCACTCATTCTATCCCTTTCCTTTCCGCTCACAAGCTGACAAGTCATGTCCCCATGGTCCTTAGAATGGTGATCTACCTTCAGCCTTTTATAGCTGTTTATATTGTATTGTCTTCTATTGTTCAAGACGTTTTAAATTTACATACTATTGTACATCTATAATCTGTTTGGCATTTTAGAAGTTGATGGCTATTTTTAGGGCTCCTTGCCTCTAGGCAGGAGACCTATTGTAATCGTTCGGATTATTATTATTATTATTTATTATTCCGCCAATTTTTTTTATCCAAACAAAACTCCTAAACCAATGCTCCGAACCACTTACCAAAAATCACACAGATGCGCACCGAGGTGTAGATATTCCCCTTAAAAATCTCTAGGCTCTTGGCCCAATAGCAAAGGGGAGATAATTCAAAATTAATTCCAAAATTTCAACGTTTGACAGCTAATATCTCAAGAACTAATTGTTCCAACACTTCCAAATTTCTTGTACAGATGCACAATCAAATTCCCAACAATTTTGCCTGGACGGGTCAAGTCGATAAAACGTACCGTTTGGCAGTTATTTTTGTTTTCAGTTTTTGGCCATGTTTTTCAGCCCTTTTCTGAGTAGTTTGCCCCAAGTTTGCCAGTATGGTAGATGATGTCCTGGTGATTCCAGAACACTAATTGTTTTGAACGTAGACCCAAGAACAACTGAGATACAGCCTTTTAAAGAAGAAACTATTTCTTCTCCGGAACTTCTTAAAAACCCATGACCCCCATGACCCCGTGACCCCGGCTGTATTTGGAAGATCCGCTCGCCTGTCAAAACATGTGTTCTGGCTCCGTTTTGGACGATGATATCTAGCCCTCAGATACAATAGATAGAAAGTAAAGCCAAGGAGACCTCATCGTTGCCTGCAACTATATTTATGTTTATTTTTGTATTATTATTTTATGTTAGCACTAGTTAGTTATGTGGGCTTATAAGCGACCAAAAACACCAGTTGTGATAAGAAATACGCCTGAGACTTTTAATGTTTGGGTGTTATTTATTGGGCTTAGGTGTATTTGTAGTGTCAGGTGGGTTGCACTCAGTAATATTCCATCTACATGGCGGCGGTCTGTAAATAATCGAGTCTGAGCCAGACAACCCAGTGATCAAAAGCATGAACATCTATCTCCACAATTGGTATACGATGACATGTGTCAACCCAGTCAGTTAGCTTGACCACCCGATGGTGTTAGTCGCCTCTTCCATGGGTTGCTGAAGACCAATTCTAACCTGGATCTTCACGGATCACACACAACATCTAGGCTAACGGAAGTTACCCAACAGATTGGTATCTCCTCGGCATAATAACACACTCCCGCTTCAATAAAAATGCCACAGTTTTCAGGTTACCTTCTTCGTATTTGTACGTATCTGTGACATCTTCTCTTTCCAAGTTTTCGGTTCCAAACAAGAAGCTGCCGAATGATGGTGCGACGTAGGACTTTCCTGTAGGCTGGTGGGTGCTCAGCTTCTTCCCGACTCTATAACAAGTCAGAACATTGGGTACAAAGGAGTGAGTGAGTGAGTGAACTGGGTTTAACGCCGCTTTTCGCAGTATTCCAGTTACGCCACGGCGTGTCAGCTTAAAGTGGGACAAAAGCCTTAAGAGATGCGGGTCTCGTGTGTTCATTGGTTGAGTGAGATCTCACGAGAACGGTTTGGTGCCAACAAACCTAGAAACATAACGAATGATAATCGGAACGTAACGGGATTAAAGCTCACAGTCATAGATTGCAATCGCTCCTTTGGTGTCCACCTTCTAAAACCTCTCTCTTCAATTCATTACATTCTCTTTAAATACACAGTAAAATACGTTTATAACGAATTGGTGGATATAGTCCCGGTCAATTGCTATATACATATAATAGTCGGACTGCGTATAACAATACGTGGTTATAACGAACCAACAGTAGTCGTCCTTGAGTTCGTTATATCCGTTGCTAACTGTATTCATGACATTGAAGTTTATATACTGTCGGGCAAAAGAAGGTGAGGTGAAATGGGGTTTAACGTCGTGCTTAAGAATATTTCGCTGATATGACGACGTGCATGCGTGTGTATGTGTATGTACGGCTGCTTGTACTAGCCCAGACTGAAGCTGGTTTTATAGTGCTAGCCCACTGAGATGCCATGCCGCAGTGAAGCATGAATACCCCACTCAGACACATTATACTGACTCCGAGCCGACCATTCTTTGTTGTACCCATTAATGCCGAGCGCCAGGCATGGACCAACAAGTACCATATTTGAACGTCTTTTGGTATGACGCGGTCGGGGATCGAACCCACGACCTTCCACTCTCCGGGCAGACGCTCTAACCACTACACCACGGAGGCGGTTCAAACGAAAGCATGTTCTTGCCTGTCTATGTCCACTTGATATATTTACATGCATGTCAAACCACGTGTAATTACTCCTAGTCAGCACCTTGGAAATCTAGGTGACGTCATATGGGAAGACCCCCACCTTTTCCATTTCGAATGAATTCCCTGTCAGTTACGATAGATATCGTACCTTTGTACGATCTGCAAAAGGTTTAAGTTCGTTTCGAAAGTATATCCCATATTTAACCTATGTTATAGTATCTTGTTTTAAGTTGTTGAGATTAAACTTATCTAAGATTGTTCGCAACTCAAAACACGTCTCATTGATTACGGTGTCCCTTAAGTTTGATGACGACTTACGCATTTCTGATGCGCTTTGACTCCACAAGCTTTTTAAGCACTTTGCTGTTCTTCCATTCGACCTTGTCGGCGTTCACCTCGGCGTAGATGAAGCTGGTGTCGTAGCCCACCCTCAAGTGACCTTCTTTGATGGCAGCCACAGGAGAGGGACCGCAAGTATAAACACCTGTGGGGCAAGAAATAGACTGATATATACTCCCAGATATAGGCCTTATTTAAACATATATATCCACAAGAAATAACAAAATAAAGAAAATGGAAGAGAAACCCAGATCATTTATCAATTTCAGGAGAGCCGAGGCAATCTAGACCCGATAATCTTTTTTGACTTGAGCTTGACTTCTTTTTAATTACTTCGCAAGGGATTGGGTGAAAAACTAGACAAGAAATGAAACGATAAATGATGTGAATGTATATTGAGAGCACAGACGCTAGCTTTCGAAAAGATTTCACAGAAGGGAAAAAACTATTTGAATAATCACAGGAAAGTTGGGTCCGTTGCATGATTGCAACTATATCATGAACATGCTTTTACGATCACTTATTATCAATTGCTGATACAAGCGAATCATACTTATAACTATGTCGTACATCACAAACACATGCAGAGGTAAGTAAAGTGCTAAAAATACACGGGAAAATATGGCCCAAGTCAAAATATTACGATTGTCATTGGAGCGTCATATTGGGAATAGACTCAACATATCTAATACAAAACCTTAAAAATGTATACCTAAGTCCTTGAATGTCGTAAGAATCAGACAGCTGGAGCATAGTGTTGCCAGTTCTTCAATTTCGTAACAAGGCCTTAGACCCATGTACAATACAAATAAACATGTGTAATTATAAGATAGTGGCATTTGACAGTCAGATTCATATGTATGAAGAACGCAATGACAATGCTTCCTTAATGTAAGAAGAACAATATGTTAGTGTTGAAAACTTGGTACAAGATAATGTGTTCAGAAAGAGTTGTTGATCCATGTAATTTGGTAATGCTTTAAAATATTTACAGTGTAAAACATGATAAACTTTACATTCAAACAGGAAATGAAATTCATCTTCTACAAAATTATCATTACAAATATTACAAAGTCTTTGATGCCTCGGAACTCCATCAAATCTACCGGTAAATTGATATATTGGAAGTGCACCTATTCGTAACTTTGTTATTCGAGGCCTCACATCTTTAGATTTCAATAAAACTAAATATGGTTCAATGAGAAATATACTTTTGATACTGGAATAGACATCAAGTGATCAACATTTGTGCATTTCTGAAAATATGAATTATTGCTTTTGACAATCACCAACTCTTACATGAAAATCTTTCAAAAGCTGTTCCTCGTTGCAACCTCCTTGAGCTTCCCACACAAAACCAAAACCATAATTGAACAAAGTATTTCGGATCAAATATACCCACGTTTTCCTACCAACTTTGTCTAAATTGTGCAATATAATATAACACTGCTTTGGATTTCTATCCTTTGGTGAGCGTAAAAGTTTGAACCGATACTTCAAAACACGTAATAAACTATCAACATAAATATAATTTCTACCACCTTCCGCCAAAACAGCAGCGTTAGAGCATTTATAACTTACGACCAACACATACTTACAAAATATATTGTGAAACTGTTCAATAACATGCCATTTCCGAAAACCTCATATTTCCGAAGCGTACAAAATTATCGGGTTTATCTGAACGTCAAAGATTTTGAACAAAATAGTTTGAGAAATATTTTTAAGTCTCCTACCAAAAACCTTAACTGAGCACAAGGCGTTATTCGCTTTGTTTACCAATTTTTGAACCGATTTAGACCATGAACGTCTATTTGAAAACAATAAACCCAAATAATTATAATATGTAGAACCATTTAAGATATGATCACCAAAGTACCATGATTCATACCGCCTTAATTTACCACCATTTCTATAAACTAGCACCTCTGTTTTACCTCTGTACTACAATTATATTGGTGGTTCTTTTACGGTTTAACTTTTCCACAAACCCACCCTCGCTACGTTCCTGGGGCGTGGCGTCAACGGCATGCCATCCGTCGTATTTCATGTCGTCCGTGTTCAGATCCGGGCGTCTCATGTAAACCTCATTCCACACATGGAAGTTCCTTGAAGTAGACACAGAACATTAACACCGTCTTGGTCGTGGTAGAAAATAACATATATTCATATTGATAAATCATAAGCAGCATGTATGTTACAGTTATTGATTTCATGGTTGTGTGGGAGTGGGTAGTTGCTTGTCAAGCGGAAAGACACAGGAACTTACGCACGATGTTAACGACAGATAGTCAAGATGTCATTTACTTTAACAACTTTGAACATTTCAAACATTCCTTAAGCATTCCGAGAACGGGGACTGAATAAGAATGGGAAACTATATATTGGATTAAATGGTTGATCGTGTCTGGCAGCATAGGTCGACATTCGTAATACCACTGAATGACTGGTTCACACATACTTTGTACCTTGGTTGGAAGATTTCTGAGCGAGTGATTGAGTGAGTTTAGTTTTACGCCGCATGTAGCAATATATTTCTGACTTCAGTGTTCAAAATATAAACGAAATTATTTCAGATGTTTTTGTTCAAATCTCCCAGGTAGTCACTATCCAGACAAGACCGACTGTTACAAATTACAAATTAAAAGTGCACTATATATTCAAGTCAAAAAAATGATTACACAACAGTCTCGTTTCCTGCTGACTGGGTTGCGTCCTATTGCGCAACTTAGAACAATAACCAGTCCAGATTTTGAGACCAAATCATTCACCTGGATCTATAAATATTTGATACATCTAATCACTTGTATATTGCAACACTACGCTCCTTCTAATCCTTGCAAACACGTCGTGCAGCGTGCTCTGTCGTACAGCGTTCTCTGACAAACGGAAATCTGGAAATCGCGGAAATTTCAAAACGAGGCTCGGCCGCTAGAAACGTTTGGTGGTCTGTTATGGACTTGGTATTATATCAATCACACTGTACGTTACAAAAAGTACATTTGGTAAGCACAAAGAACACATAACAGGTGTAACCAGTGAGCCAGATGAATTGTGAATCATTGTACGACCTCTTCAAACGGGGCAGTCTGTGACGTCTTAGTTAACGACATGCTGTCTAAACCTTGACATAGAATATAGAAATAGGATTGTTTAAAACTTTCTTATGAACACGGAAGTGGAATTCAGTGTAACCATAGTTGTTTGTAGTGTCTCTTTTCACTTTTACAACAGAAAATTCGGATCGGCTGAAAAGTAGGTCATTGTCTGAATTGGTTAATGAGACTCATGTTTCGGTTTGTATCACATAGCGCCGCAAGATTGGTATATACTATAGAATAACGGGGCCGGAGAGGTAACATAGAGGCTAGAACAGTGAAGACCCGGCTCCAAATCCCCGCATGGGTACACATTCTGGTGTCCCCGGGGTGATATCGGTGGAATATTGCTAAAAGCGCTTTAAACTAACCTCACTCACTCATCGTGTAACAATCCGTATGTCGCCGGTTAGGACACATCGCCTATTAAATACGATATACTCTGCAGATATTTATTTCATCAATGACGTCAATGTAGTTAAGTTGTAAAACAAGCCAAATTAAAAGAAACTACCGACAACATACCACACGGAATCATCCGTTTTCTCTTCAACGTCTCCGTCCACGTTTTTTTTAATGACGTCAATGCTGAGCCGCTCCAGGTCGGTGTTGTGGGCGGAGGCGTAGTTGGTGACGCTGCGGCAAGGCAGTCCAATAGCTCTGCACACTAGACAGAAACAAAAAGCGTTCGTAACACTAATCCTGTGGCAAACTATAGTTAGATGGCTGGTAACGTTACGGATGCTCTGTGGATCGGAAACCTGGTTTGTTTTATGCATAATTCCTTGGGGACTTGTAAAAGCAAGAGAAGCTCGGTATCGGCACAGATAGGCTTTCTGTCATGTAGGACATGTGTTAATATCCTATTAACCCCAGGGGCTGGGTTTGGGGCTGTTTAGCCGACTTTCCACCCACGCCCATTCTCTTCCTACGAACCTCTGGTCTAATACGGCCATATTTCCCGATTCTCGTAAAATCCCCTAGCGGCAAAATATCGCAATACGAATTATCTCCCTTCTCTCTATCTAATGAGAACACGTGTTACATCGACTTGGTCATTCTGGACTAATACAAGCAAATGTGGGGGCACAAATATCCGTCCTCTGCCGGGGACTTGTCTTGATGTGACACACAAGACATTTAATGGCTAGCTTGTCCGTTGTCAACGAGGGCGATAATTGATCCACCATTACATGACTGAGTTCTGTCTAGAAGAAACGTTTGCGCATCGCGCAGGGGAAGAGGTTCTAGTTTTTTCTAGTTGATAAGTTTTGAAACAACGTCGCTGATTGCACAACTAAATCTGATTGCAACCAATGACGAATCCTGAACACTCGCACCATGAAAGGGCCGTTTTAGAACAGAGCGCTTTGAACAGTAGCTCACTTATTAAACATCGTGCCAGTCTAATGTGGGAGGAAGCCAGAAGGTGTGCCGTCTGCTGACAAACGTGGAAACATAAACATTGCGAACGTGTGACAGAACCATCGAGAGTAGCTTTCCCTTGACTGGAAGGTATCCAAATAGTAATCAACGCATTTGTCTTGTAAATAATCACAGAGTGATTTCCCAAGCGGTGTGTGTTCTATCAGGGCAGCGTTTCAAGTTGAAGCCATACGCACAAAATGTCAAACTTTATGGCATGGCACACAATATAATCACGCGATTCATATTTTATTCGCTTCTAGGACCATGAGACAGGGGGACCAGCACATCCCCTTGACCTACCCGCAGTGGTGACAGCGGAAAACACCCAGCACTGGCCGTACCGCACTGGTTTCCCTGTCTTCATGTACTCCAACAGAATCGTCTCGCTTCCTTGCCAGGACGTAGGCTTCTTGCCGCCAGAGTAGTCGCCGCTCCAGTTGCCCACCAGGACCCCGCCGTTGTCCGGGGCGTTCACCTGAAACACGACACAAACCCTGGTAAGATGTCTATGCTTATAGCATGTGGGCTGCTGGTACCAGTAAGGATGGTTTTTACAGGCCAAGCTCTCTGAGATGCCATTCAACATGGATACCACAGAATACTGACACCGTGCCCACCAATCCTTGTTATGACCCTGTTTTTGATCCGTGCGCGTGTGTGTTTAAGTGTTTGCTTATTTGCTTGTGTGTGTGTGTGTGTGTGTGTGTCTGTCTGTCTGTCTGTCTGTCTGTCTGTCTGTCTGTGTGTGTGTGTGTGTGTGTGTGTGTGTGTGTGTGTGTGTGTGTGTGTTTTATATGTGTGTACAATGCTGTTATAAAACTCACAATCCCCGCTATCATCCTGGAGACAAGGACTGGGCTCGCCATGGCGGGTGTGGCCTTGAACCCGAAAGCTTTCCTCACGAGATGAAGAGCAGCATCCAATATCCCGTACTTGAACTGAAACATGGAAGTAAATAAACGAGCATTCAGAGATGAACAAGGACATGCTGGCCTGTCCTCTTGCGCAACACCTTCGGGTCTGAACAGTAAGAGGCGACCTGATGGACTGATCCGTGGACGGACATTTCTCAACTTAATTACTGAAGTCTTTGATAATTTGTTGCAGTGAGAGTTTTATGGCAACTATATGTAACGAATGCCTTAGGCAGCGACCATTAGGTATTTTGTAGGGGGTTGAGGTGTGGGTGGGGATCTTTCAAAACTACTTTTCCATCCAAAATAACTTGTGCTGCTGGATGCCCTGGGATTATAAGTTGTCGTGATATAAACAATGGTTGACCTCATCCTTCCAACAGACTTCAAGTCTCTGCAGTTGCTGCCGAACACGGCAATCCTGTCTCTTGCAAATGTCAAAGGTCAAATTTTTGAAAGGGATAATTATTAGGGTCGTATTCACAAAGCGGGTGAAGTGCTATGGGTTTCAAGTTAAAGAACTGGATACATACACAAGACGACGTTAGAGTTGCTTTGATCATAACGCTGATATTAAAACAATGACTTAATCGTAGCGCAAAGAGCTTGGAGGCTCAGTTCCGTTTACCTGGTTGTAGGCCCAGGATCGGACGCCGACCTTTCTGTAGGTGCCATAGTATTGAGTGCCGTTGTCGTTGAGGACCGTCTCTGTCCTCCAGATGTCGTCATCCATGTACACCCAGTCCTCTGTTAGATATGCCACATGTATCAACTTTGTAACAATATGCAAGCTCTCAGTTCCCTATTTGATATGTCACTTCCAGTGAGAATTTCAGTTACATGGTAATATTTAGCGATAATAAACGCAATATACATCAGTTACATGGTAATATTTAGCGATAATAAACGCCATATACATCAAGACAGCAGACCAATGTCATGGTATTTGATATGTCACTTCCAGTGAGAATTTCAGTTACATGGTAATATTTAGCGATAATAAACGCCATATACATCAAGACAGCAGACCAATGTCATGGTATTTGATATGTCACTTCCAGTGAGAATTTCAGTTACATGGTAAGTGAGAATTTCAGTTACATGGTAATATTTAGCGATAATAAACGCCATATACATCAAGACAGCAGACCAATGTCATGGTATTTGATATGTCACTTCCAGTGAGAATTTCAGTTACATGGTAATATTTAGCGATAATAAACGCCATATACATCAAGACAGCAGACCAATGTCATGGTATTTGATATGTCACTTCCAGTGAGAATTTCAGTTACATGGTAATATTTAGCGATAATAAACGCCATATACATCAAGACAGCAGACCAATGTCATGGTAACACCGTCAACTCCAGCTGGACGTTTTGTTCAACAAGATCACTTAATGTTTAGCTTGGACTGGTTATAATACCTATTCTCTAAATTGGCAATATGACTTGCAGTTGCAAATCGAGTGTGGACAGTACATACCAGTGCTTGATGTTAGCACCACCAAGGTACAATGAAACAAAATCATTCAGACCAAGCCATGATCTCCTGACCCATCTATAGTCTGTCAACTTACATTTTGGGACACAGTACAGTTACGTTCATTTTCAAATTCATGTGGTCATATTTCCATACATGAATTGTCTGGCACTTCTTAGGCAGTGCCTGGTATACGTCATTGTAACAGACTGTAACCGAATCAGGCTCGCTGACTTGGTTGACACATGTCATCGGTTCCCAGTTGCGCAGTTCGGTGCTCATGATGTTGATCACTGGATTGTCTGGACCAGACTCGATTATTTACAGACCGCCGCCATATAGCTGGATTATTGCTGTGTAAATCTAAAACTCACTCACTCACTTTAAAGAAGGAATCATACTTTCTTGTAGACTTTAGTGACTGGTATAGGTCATTGTTACAGACTGTAACCTAATCCCCAGAGTTTTTCAAGAAGGAAGCATATTTTCTTGTAGACTGGTGTTTAGTCAAAGAACAATAAGTTATTTCATTTACAAGCATATCATTTTATAAAATTATGAACAGAACCCCAAAGGAGCCCAGTACAATTCTCAATTTCAGGCAAGAAATCAGACTTGCTCAATCATCCCATACATAACGTGGACACCTTTTATTTTTATCTGGCAGACAGAGCACTTGTTTTCTCACCTTTGCACCATGGGTTGAAGATGATGTTGATGTAGTCGGCTGTGTGGTTGTACTGCCAGAACAGATCCTTGCCGTCCTTCACGTCCACCACGGTCTTGACAGCAAACTCCCACTCGCCGATGGGTGTTGATGCGGGAACGAAGACGGACAGTGTGAGGGTGTTACCCTCCTGACCGGTGACCGTAGCACCCCATTTCTTGGGCTTGTATTTAGTTGCCCCGGTCTCGTCAACCTTGAAGCTCTGGTTCAGTCTTTTGTTTGCTTTGTATTCGTCACCTGTCCAATGATATTGTGGTGAATGATATTGTCAGGCATTCAGCAATGGCGTTATGCCAGTTGGTTTTTACAATAAAACAACTTTACAGTGACACCTATTCTCACGAAATACGCACCATTCATAATTTTATATGTCTCCGCATAACAAAAACACTTTTTGACTCATTTCACCTAGAACATATCTGAACATGGTTTATTTTTTAAAGATGTTTTTGTTTAATATGATGTCTCCATAAAAGTGTAATCCACGTTACCTCATGAAAATGAACATATATTTATGTGTATTTATTAGATAATATGCCTTATTTACAGTTTTATATTGGGACAATACAATATCAATCTCATAGCCACTAAATTTCGGCCGATTTCCCACCTTGACGCTTCACAGGTTTAAAGTTGAAGATATTTTTGTAAGGATGTAATCTACGTGACCACCATAAGATAAAAACTGAACACTCAGTGTCACCAAAAGGGTTTTTAAATGAATGGCCCTATTCAGTAGTAATAACTAAGTGAAGGGGATGCTCTTCTATTACACTATAAACGTTTGATGGATGCTAAGGGACGTCTGTGTAATCCACGTGATGTAATCTATGTGACCTCAATCCCAAAGGAGCACAGTACTATTTTTCGCGACTTCTACTCAGGTAAGACAGTTTTATTGGTCTAAAGTTATGGCATGAACTCTTCTAAACATTACAGTTTGGATGGATGTTCACTGTGCCTCTGTATTGTCTGTACTCAAATAATGAATGAAACGAAGAAATTATGGCATGAACTCTTCTAAACATTACAGTTTGGATGGATGTTCACTGGGCCTCTGTATTGTCTGTACTCAAATAATGAATGAAACGAAGAAATTATGGCATGAACTCTTCTAAACATTACAGTTTGGATGGATGTTCACTGGGCCTCTGTATTGTCTGTACTCAAATAATGAATGAAACGAAGAAATTATGGCATGAACTTTTCTAAACATTACAGTTTGGATGAATGTTCACTGGGCCTCTGTATTGTCTGTACTCAAATAATGAATGAAACGAAGAAATTATGGCATGAACTCTTCTAAACATTACAGTTTGGATGGATGTTCACTGGGCCTCTGTATTGTCTGTACTCAAATAATGAATGAAACGAAGAAACTGTCAATCACTTTTGCATCTTTTAATGTAATGGAATAGTATAGAAACGTTTCACCAGTAATATTCAAAATTTCTATATAGATATGGCAGTGTTACGGTAACGTAGGTTACAAGTTTTGTAAGTTGTATAATGGTTTTCGCTCATTTAAGATTTCAGTGACAGTACCGTTATGATATACAGAGGCATTATTAATATGATTATTATGTGTGACTTACCACAACTAGTTCTAAGCAAAGCATTGCTATCTGTCGTAAAAAAGACCATGTCACATTTTGCTTCAAGTTAGTCTTGGGATTTCCGTTTTGCAGTTGATGCTCTACTGATGGTGTCACGTAGATTACAAAGTGGAATTTGGGAACCCAATCATGATTGGCGATCTACTTTGACATCTGACTTTTGATAGTTTGACTTTTGTAAACAATAAATGTTCTAACAATAAAATGACTTATTATTGAAAAAAAAGAACTTGAGCTTTTACCACTTCCAGTTATCAGTTGTGCACATTTCGTGAGAATAGGTGTTTAACATCATGATTTTACTCTTATGGTGTGAACATAAAAACTTAATACGTCAGGAATAACCAGTCTTTATTGTACCTGTCATTCACACAAATTCCAATAAAACAGTAACTAAAGTATTTATTGCCTGAAGCTGTAAGAAGAAGAATACCTTCCATGCCACGGACGTCTGTATATAACCGGACAGTGAAGAGATCAATGGACCAGAAAGTCCTCTGACATGCCAGTGCTTTCGTTGTGATTTCGAAAGCTTAGTTAAATGATGGGTTCATTTTTAATTACGATTGTGTAGAAGTACAGAGAAATAGGAAAACCAAGTTCTATGGATAGTCAACTTCTTTATTGCAATGAGTTGACTGAGCATAGAAGTTGGTTCAGCATAGAATCTATACTTCATCTAAAATGCCTCTCAAAGAAGTTACAGAGAAGTACACATCAGCATCAAAAACCGTTTATGAAATGTGTTCGTTTTGCGAAACAGTGAATTTTGGTTTTGTTTGGATCCAATATTTTCAGCTTATAGTGGTAAAAGAAAACCATCATTCCTCTATGTGAACATCACCGTGATCTTACTTTCCGATATTTTTCAGCACGATGCTATCCATCTGTCATTACCTATACACTCCATAAACTGTTCCTATTAGTCCTTCCTTCCTTTGTAGTTCCATCATTTATCATTGCCAAGTATATGGAACATTATCGTGGCGTCATAGTTGTTGTAACTTACCCAAATTAAACATCAGCCTGATGTCATTCTTCTTGATGTCATACGGCCTGTCGAAGGTGATGGTCATCTTGAACTCCTGACCTCTACGGAGTACCAACTCTGCTGTTCTCCCTTCGGCTTCTTGCGCACATTCGTACATGTCCGTGTGGTGCTCCTTAGCATTTTCGGCAATGTGGAGGTCGACTCCGGTGACGTGAAGCTTCGTCTCCAGTTCCTTCTTCTCAACCTCAACCTTCTCCGGTTCCTTCTCCTCTGGAGCTGAGACAGGAAAGGCCAATCATTGAGAGAGTAAATCTGACAATGAGTGAGTGAGTTAGTGAGAACGGGGACTAAATAAGAATGGGAAGCTATATATTGGATTGAATGGTTGATCGTTTCTGACAGCATAGACCTTGGTTGGAAGATTTCTGAGTGAGTGAGTGAGCAACACTTGGAAGTGTGTAATCATGACACCCAGCCTTTACCTTCACGTATAGGCAACTCTTTCGTCTTGGTGGGGTCTGGAGGGGGTAGAAGTTTTATGTCACGCTCTGACGCTCGGGGTTTGAAGATGGAGCTGTTGTACATCCGGACCGAACTAGCATAGTTCATCCGGCGGCTCCTGCGAGCTCTGAAAAAAACCCAGGAAATGAAAAACAGATTAAGTCCAATTCGTGTCATACTTATCTTATTCAGTTGATGTACAAGCCTCCGACCCATTGCAACATAGATAGATGTATATATCAATTTCGTTGCGCGTGATGTTGATCAGTATGTATTCTCTTCTGCGTCGTGACCTGTGTGTGTGTTGATGTGAGTATGTCTGTGTCTATGTATGTATGTCAGTGTGTATGTATGTATGTATGTATGTATGTATGTATGTATGTATGTATGTATGTATGTATGTATGTATGTATGTATGTATGTATGTATGTGTGTGTATGTATGTATGTATGTATGTATGTATGTATGTATGTATGTATGTATGTATGTATGTGTGAACATGAGTGTGTGTGTACGCGCGCATGTGTGTGTGTCTCCGTATCCTACCTTCTTGAGAGTATTTCGCTGCTGTTGTTGTTTCCCCGGAATCTCGAATACATGGTGAAGGTTGCTGAATACGAAGACACTCCCGACGAATATCTGCAGTTGCTGCTGAAAACAGGTTGATTCCCACAGCGGCTAGAAACAAAAGGTAATCGGTGATAACACAGCTATGTTAGACAACAATATCGGAGACTGTAGGAACAGGATGAGTTTTGGATGGGCTATTCTAGAGATGGTCAGTAATAGGTCGACAAGAACATTGGGTCACATAGATATGGAATAAGGACCAGAAAGGGTAAGGATAGGTCGACAACAAAACTGGGGAACATAGGTATGGAATAAGGACCAGAGAGGGTAAGTAACAGGTCGACAACAAAACTGGGGAACATAGGTATGGAATAAGGACCAGAGAGGGTAAGTAATAGGTCGACAACAAAACTGGGGAACATAGGTATGGAATAAGGACCAGAGAGGGTAAGTAACAGGTCGGGAGGTATGGAATAAGGACCAGAGAGGGTAAGTAACAGGTCGACAACAAAACTGGGGAACATAGGTATGGAATAAGGACCAGAGAGGGTAAGTAACAGGTCGGACTAAGACCATATGGGTCGACAAAACTGGGAACATAGGCATGGAATAAGGACCAGAAAGGATAAGTAACAGGCCGACTATAACGTTTGGGAACATAGGCATGGAATAAGGGGGAAAGAGGATAAGTAATAGGTCGACAACAACACTTGGGAACACAGGCATGGAATAAGGACTAGAAAGGGGATGAAACAACCTACCTTCATCTGAAATATGAGAACTGTGTATAAGGCGAGTGGTTAGATAGAATGCATAATGAGGCCCGTTTTTTTCCACAACAATGGTTGTTGACGTGACTGCGCAAGTAAACAACTACTTTCGGGTACAAACTGAATTTGCACCAGCACCTGATCGTTATTACGAGATCGTTCATATTTCGACACATACCTCAGTCTATCTATCTACCAGTGTTACTTCATCGCTTCACTACCCCTGAAGCTCCGGGGTCAAATTGGTCTTCAGCAACCCATGAATGGTCTTCAGCAACCACCCATGAATGGTCTTCAGCAACCCATGAATGGTCTTCAGCAACCACCCATGAATGGTCTTCAGCAACCACCCATGAATGGTCTTCAGCAACCCATGAATGGTCTTCAGCAACCCATGAACGGTCTTCAGCAACCCATGAATGGTCTTCAGCAACCCATGAATGGTCTTCAGCAAACCCATGAATGGTCTTCAGCAACCCATGAATGGTCTTCAGCAACCCATGAATGGTCTTTAGCAACCCATGAATGGTCTTCAGCAACCCATGAATGGTCTTCAGCAACCCATGAATGGTCTTCAGCAACCCATGAATGGTCTTGAATGGTCTTTCAGCAACCCATGAATGGTCTTCAGCAACCCATGAATGGTCTTTAGCAACCCATGAATGGTCTTTAGCAACCCATGAATGGTCTTCAGCAACCCATGAATGGTCTTCAGCAACCCATGAATGGTCTTCAGCAACCCATGAATGGTCTTCAGCAACCCATGAATGGTCTTCAGCAACCCATGAATGGTCTTCAGCAACCCATGAATGGTCTTCAGTAACCCATGAATGGTCTTTAGCAACCCATGAACGGTCTTTAGCAACCCATGAATGATCTTCAGCAACCCATGAATGGTCTTTAGCAACCCATGAATGGTCTTCAGCAACCCATGAATGGTCTTCAGCACACCTTCGGCGGGATGTAAAAGGCGACAAACGGGATCAGGCCGCCATACAACTGGAGTATTGCTGAGTGCGGCGTTAAACAACAAACCAAAACACATCACTTCACTTCACAATAGAGGTGACTAAATAATACCATCATCCAACATACCAGATCCAGCAACCGAGGCACACCAGAAACTAAGAGTATAGTTTCTGTTGTTTCTAATAGTATAGTTTCTATTGTTTCTAATAGTATAGTTTCTATTGTTTCTAATAGTATAGTTTCTATTGTTTCTAATAGTATAGTTCCTATTGTTCCTACAAGATCACCCACCGGATGTTCATTAAAACATCCCAGATTTGTTAAGCAAAACGATCTCACCTGCCATAGCTGTTGGCACTGTATACATTACGGTTCCACATGGTAATACGTTCCCCACAGAGGTCAGTATAGGCGTAGTGTGACGCTCTCCTATATAGCAAGCTCCACGTCCGGTATACAGTGCCGTTCAGAAACAAATACCGCTAACGTGTAATTCTCGACCATTTAGTACGAATAGACGTAGTGAAGTGTCCTTTGTCTCAACTGAAACTATGCACGTTTAACCTGACCCGATACAACCACTTTACATCGAGAAGTGAGAATGTAATGTACTTCATGTAACGGTACTTTTATTTGCTCAGCATTGTATCAAACCCCTCCCCCATACAACAATCTATCTGTCGGAAACAGATTATCATATAGGCGTGGTGTCTGGTTTCCATATAGAGGGGACAAGGTCACGTAGGTATTTGGAGGGACGTTACGCCAACGCTCACGTACAAACACTGATCTTGTAACCTCTTTTAAAATGTAGTGTCTCTTGTTACGTGAGTGAAGTATTAATTCACATTCCGAGACAAAGGAAGGCTACAGCTGACTTCTGTTACTATAAGGTCTGGGCTTGTCTAAACATTAGGGACCGGCTTACACCTAAACACAATTCTTTGTTGAGGTAATTTCAGAAATCATATTTTCGCAATTAATGTTATCAATATATTACATTATGAATTTCTTTTCGTACCAGATAGTATTTGCGATTTCTATCTTTCTATGACTGAACTGATGAGACACCGAGTGAATGAATAACAGAATTTATACAACGAATTAATGAGAATGTGGTGTTTTATAGGCAAGCTCGGGTCGACATGATTTTTAAATTGTTTATTTCATAGACACAAATAACTCCATGAACTTAATTTTGCTCACATTAATACCATGTGGAAAATTCTTGTCGTGAAACTGGATGATGAGTCAAACTAAACGAATGACAGTGCGAGGAAATGTTTGCTGGATGGCCTTGACCATGACGTCGGTCGGCCAAGACCACTTCCGGAATGTCAAGGACCTTTTTCCATCGACTGACGAATATGCCGCTCTGACCGATATTGTTTCGCATATTGCCGATTTTCATGAAGGCTATAGTTTGGGCGTGAATATTTTGTTTGGGTTCGTGTGCAAGTCCGTTTAATGCTTTGGGCAGCTTTTATTTTTGCTGATTGATCGCTTGGTGTCAGTTTCAAGTGTCGGAAGTTGTAAAACCCTTTCATTGCAATAGTTATGCTTTTGGTGAGGTGAAATGGGGTTTAACGTCGTACTTAAGAATTTTTCGCTCATATGATGACGTACATGCGTGTGTATGTGGGACTGTTTGTACAAGCCCACACTTAAGGCTGGTTTTATAGTGCTAGCCCACTGAGCACGAATACCCCACTGACTCCGAGCCCAGCAGTCCTTCTTGTACCCATTAATACCGGGCGCCAGGCAGGGACCAACAAGTACCATATTTTAACGCGGCCGCGGATCGAACCCTCGGCATCCCGCTCTCTTGGCAGACGCTCTAACCACTACACCACAGAGGCGGTACTTATGCTACCGACAGACCAGAACCAATAATCGGTATTCGAATGGACGCAACGCAGATCCTGGCAGGGCTAAGGGACATAAACATGGACAGAGCATTTTTAAGGCTCTTTGGTCGTAGGTCCTCCATCATTGTTCTTGGTAACGCGGATTCAGATGGCACTATCGGACACATAGCAAGTGGAAAGGGTTTTGTCGCTGTATTTTTATTCAAACCAACTTCACACGTGATTCCTGGGTATAGTAGATCCACAGAAAATAGTTTGACAATACGTTAAAACTAACCAATTATGAAATGTCAAATATCGGTGTACTTAGCAACACCCATGAAGATCCAGGTTAGACTTGGTCGTCAGCAACATATGCTTGTCTTAAAAGTCGACATACAGGATCAGATGGACAGAATCGATGTCTAAGTTGACACACGGATTACCACCATGAAGTGTAAACAGAAACGAGTTTCAAACAGACAATCAGTGGCTTAAAGACTTATCAAGTCCACTCGAGCACGCAATCAACTAACAGAGCCTGACCACCCAATCCTTAGCAACTAATCTCAGAAATAACAGGAAATATCTAGTTTTTTCATTAACATGATTACAATCAAATCCACTGTCGGGTAAAAGATAGTAGACACTTAAAACAAGATTTTGGGATAAAAAATACTAACATTACTGAAACGTTACGATATTTTGCCAACATTACATCCAAAACATAATTACAGTTACTTCAACATCAAATCACCATTTCTTTTCAGGTTTAGCCACTCTAGTGTAAAACATTCTTGTACCCGGCAACGTATTTAACGTTCATTGTGTTTAATGTACCAACTACCCGTGAAGGTACGGGTTAGAATATTGATCTTCAGTAACCCATGCTTGTCGTAATAGGCGACTAACGGGATCGGGTGGGCAGACTCGCTGACTTGGTTGACACATGTCATCGGTTCCCAATTGCGCAGATCGATGTTCATACTGTTGATCACTGGATTGTCTGGTGCAGACTCGATTATTTACAGACCGCCGCCATATAGCTGGAATATTGCTGAGTGCGGCGTAAAATTAAACTCACTCACTACTACAAGTGTGAAACACTGAGGAATTCAGTTATATCTGAGAGTATCATCACCGGAGATAAGTATACTTAAAGGCCTAGTTAACAGAATTTACGGTGTTTATGTTTCCATTTATGTCTGCGAAGTTTAGAAGCATGAGACGTAGGACTCTTAGCATTTGTCTCCTTGTTCTGTTAAAGTGAGATGATCTGAGTGGTCTGGATGGACCCAGGACTTTGACAAATACAAACGACTTTTGACAAATACAAACAAAACAAGTATTTTGCTTTAAACACAAAACATTTAAACTTAAACAGATATTATCAGTTACATGACAGGATTTCAAAGAAAAGGGTTTACATTATTCATGACGAGTGATAAAGAAATTATGCATTACGTCATGACGACGGAGGCGCGGTGGGGTAGCCTAGTGGTTAAAGCGTTCGCTCGTCACG